TCAGGTTCTAAAAATATTTCATCCTGCAACAAGCTATCTAAGTGTTCAGGTTCTAAAAATATTTCATCCTGCAACAAGCTATCTAAGTTAACTATTTTCAAGATTTAGAAGTTTTTGTAGTTATGCTCAATCTACTTGGTCTTCAGAAATTTAAATTTTATACTTAGGATTGAATATGGGTTTTCAAGTCATTGTAAGGTTTTCAACCCCAAAACTATATCTTTAAGCAAAATTTAGATGTGTGCCTTATTTATATAGTATAAGATGGGCACCTTATATAAACCTTACCCTTATACAATAACATAAATTAGTCCAACATTCTCAAGAACATATTTCATAATAATGTTTATGTGCATAATACACGGAAAATCTTATATATGAAAAATTAAATTTGAGGTCCAATATGAAAGTGCAAATATGCCCCTGGTTCCTCCCCTAGCTATTCGAGATGGGTTCAAATATTGGACTCGGTGGTGCATTGCATGCTTATGTAAATGACCTAGGTCTAAGATGGGTTCAAATATTGGACTCGGTAGATTGCATACTTATGTAAATGACCTAGGTCTGACCTAGTTTGGGTTTGCATCCATCCTAGACCTTACTGGTTGGGTCGGGTGTAGGTCAAAGCTAACCCAACCTCATATTTATATATAATCTACGTTGTATATTTGCAACATTATTTATATGAGAAAATATTTCACAGGGCTGCAGCGCTATCAAAATACGTAAATCATCGTCTGAAAACTCAAAAAAATTTGTATTTTTAGTGTCGAAAAGCCTTCAAATTAATCATCTCAACTTTTATTATTATGGTTGTGAAAAAATTATGATTTGAAGCCCTAAAAATAGTATATATTGTTACACATAATATAGACTATCCATTTCACACTAAAAGTAAATGTTCACATATCCCCAAGATCAGAACCATTTTTTTAACTTCAATTTTCATAGTCGGAGTTGAAAATTGATTTTAATGCAATATGGAGATTTTCAATACCCAAAGTGCTTTCCGGAAGAAGATTTGAGATGAGGCTTTACTTTACTTTCATAGAACCCATGCCTAATAGAAACCTGCATCCATTAATTTATGGCAAAGTATAGAAACCTAATAGAAACTGCATCCATTAATTCATCTACCTTTGATACAAGGTGGTCGAATTAATTTTGACCATTGGATGTGAAAGTAAGTGGCTGCAATTATTCCATTAACTAAGCTCAAACTTCAAAAAAAATTCTTGAATTTTGTGACACATCCAAGCTATCAAATTTCACATCAAATGGTTGTAAGGAATTGTGACCACCTCGTATCAAGGATATATGATCTCATTGTATGCCATCCCTTTATTTATTACGAAATATTTATAATGAAATTTATTTTATTTTTTGTTCCTAAACCTAGGCTTGGGTCTAAGGATCGAGACGAGAGATGGGTCCAGTCAGCTCTCAGTCTAGCTAGGACCAGTCGGATCGAGGTCGACCCATATTCACCTGGCCTATCAACACCCCTACTTCCCAATATTTTTCATGAAAGTAAATGATTAATTTGACTTTTCTTTTGTTCAAAGAAAACTTCCAGCCGAATATATATGAAAAAACTGGCATAGGCCCACTAGCCTACAATTACATATGAGCCCAACGGATGATATTCAATCTAGGCCGATCAAATGATCATGATTGCATTTCATATTTGAATTTTAATTTTTTTCTATAAATCTAAATCACTTGAAATTTAGATAGTGTATTCTTTAAAAATTGGAAAATCTAATAAAAAATATCAAAAAATTAATTTGCTAAAAATATATTAATCAAAATACCCCAAAACATTTTAGGGGTATTTTGGTCAATTTATATTTTATAAATTATTTTTTTAATATTTTTATTAGATGCTTCTTGATGAGAAAAATAGAAATTTAAAATTTCATATGATTTGGATTTGTAGAAAAAAAAAATTAAAACTACAATATGAAATGAAGTTGTTGATC